GCAAGTCCAATGCGATAATCCCGGCTTCTTGGTTGAATGCGGACGTCTGAAACAGTGACAAAACATAAGTATAAGCATTCGATATATCGGCTGCTACCGATAAACTTGTCCAAGTACAAAGTCGAAACTTACTGCCAACTGATCCAGGCTCGTTCTCTGGGCCAGTCGGTGACGTGCGTTACCGAACCATTTTTGGATTTCCTTATCCAAATCCTGTCGGGAACCGTCTTTGGAAACCGGGTTACCGAGAACTGTTTCTGAAACAACAGTGACCGCTTACCTTCGATCAAGGTGCAGAGTCTTGTGTGGCGGAAGGGGAGTTTGTCGGCAGATCCAGCGCAGGCGACATTGACGGCGAATTCGTCAGCCAACGCTTGTCTGAGACATAGACGTACCAGGTCCACCATGGTGGTCGCACTGAAAGACCGGAACTATTTTATCTGTGGCCCAAAAATTAGATCAACAACATTGAATTACCAGTTCCATTTGGCGTGGTACCTCTGCCAGCTCACTTTCCACTTTGTCCCACGCACCTTTGTTCCGGAGGGGGGAAGTGAAGCCGGTAGTTCCAGCAGAACTATGGACTTGTAACAATGAGTTGTCAATGCGGATCTTCAGATATTGAAGATCTGCCATTGCGTCCATTTTTCGATGCAGCTGTTCGTTCTGTTGGAGCAGTGCTGCGACTCCTGGGGTTTGGAAAAAAGGGGCAGATTGTTGGGATAAAACGAAAAAAATAGGGATCTCCGAGGGGGTGTTTAAAGCATACTGTGGCGGCGGGCGCACCGTCTGCGGCATCAAATATGCGGACTGGTTGGATGTTGACGGAACGGACGTGGAGTGTTGGGGAGCGCGCTCATCTAGTGGAACGCACCGTCTGCGGCATCAAATATGCGGACTGGTTGGATGTTGACGGAACGGATGTGGATTGTTGGGGAGCGCGCTCAGAAGTCTAGTGGAACAAAGCACGGGGAGTCGCCTGTGGGAAGCTGGGGTAAAGTGGGGAGTGTGGCTCCATCAACCTTGGTTTCTTCGGAGATGGACCGATGGACAGGGAGGGTCTTCGTTCCTTGATGTTCCTAAAAGAGGTCTTGACAACACGCACGATAGTCTTACTTTCGACGCGGATGGTTTCAGCTCATCTGGTCACATCGTCTTACTTTCGACGCGGATGGTTTCAGCTCATCTTAACGGTCACATCTGAGGTGTCCAGGTCCGATGTATGCTGGAACTCCTTCTCATGTTTGCGTGCCTTTTTGAAATCATCTGAAAAGCTAATGCGGTCAACGTGACACCTACCGTAAGTTCGAATGACTTCGCAAGTTAGCTTCACTGATCCAGCTGGCGGCTCCAAATGGAGGCGAACGGCCTTATAAAAGTCCTTTGAGTGAACCTTTGGCCATGTAGCACAGTTACCCTCGATCCACGAAGAACTGAGGACTGCACACTGTCATAGGCCTTGTTCATAGAACTTCACTAGATTGTAAGCCTGGTACGGCATATAGAATTACAAAGACATTACGGTATGGAGTGTATTAATGGGAGAACCACAAATAAGTCATTAAATGGAGGCACGGCGCACTTGCATTACACTAAAAATAGGGGACAGCTACTTACAACTGTAGACAATTTGTTCACCACAAAAATACTTAGAAAAAGATAATTAAGGGTATGGGTGAACAGTGGTAAAACGGGGGGATGGAACATACGCTATAGTGCAGTCGGGATATTCCAACCCTGTCACAATGCACGGAAAATCATCTACCAATACAACGTTATCCGGTGAACTGGCAGATAAGGCAAAAAAAGTGTTTATTTGGCGGTTATATAACCGTCGTATATCCGGAAATCTTGGTTATTTTGGACGGAGTGTGCTGCTAAGGGGACTATCTCTCGTTCACAAATTGTTACTGCCTGGATCTGTCCGCATTTCTGATACATGGTGTTACTCCTGCTTTGCTGTACTTACGTAGTCTTACGCACGCTTGTACTGTCGTTCAGCTGTAGCACTTTCGATGCGTGGCTGCCATGCCACCAGTAGGAAGGCTGGGATACTGCCAGGTTACCCAAGCCTAGACAGGGAAAGTCGAGATGCAGAGGTCGGGTTTGAACCACGTATCTTCCGGTCAGTAGCTTCGCGCTCTTACCACAACCCAGTCCTATTACGACAGTTACGCACTTTACGTCAGCACTTATTCCCGATGGATTTGTTACCCTATTTGCAAACATCCAAACGCCCCCTGACACTCGAAAAACTGTTACAGTACAAAGGCAGAATTATTTTCTTACGGACCCCAGCGAGGGCTCTTGTAGTATGCACGCTTTGGAAGTACCGGGAGACAGTGATTCTCCGAAGGCAGCGGTTCACAACTATTTCTTTGGATGAAAGCCCAGTAAACAAGGTTGTAAATCACCAATACTTACATATAAATCAATCAGACTGACAGCGTATGCTACACTGGTCCTCTTTTTGAAGAATCCCGTCCGCTGTGTACCATGGCCTACGTAAACCGACCGGTTCTAGTGGTGTGTTGCTTGAGGCTGGTGGGCGTGTGCAGAGGTCGCTGTATCTGGTGTTGCGTCAGCCATGTGTGTTTGAGCAACTTGTTAGATCTGTGGTCTGTATGCACATATGTAGGGCCATGGTCTTGTGATAGGTCCACCAGTGTGTGGTAAGCATTGTGGCGTTGTCACCAAATTTGTAGTACGCATGCTGTGGAAGCACCAAGGGATTTTACGAAGGCGGGAGTTCCCGACAATTTCTGTGGATGGAGAACAGCAATAAAGCTCATGATCTGAAGCCCGATGAGCAAGGATGTACATCACAAATACATATAACTCAAACTCACAGAGAGCGTAATCTTGCAGGACTCGTTTATCGCTCTACACAAAGCGAGAATACCTTCGAAACCCTTACACTCCCTTGTACGATCACCAAGGTGGTAAAAAGCATACAGTATGGGCTGCGGCTAGAAGTGTACTCTTCGGGGAAGCGGTGACCACTCATGTCACCCTTGCGGGTTGTATTTACTCATCACCTGAAAGTGACTGCTGCCTCCTGGTTCTTCAGACGGGGCCCAAAACTCTCACGGCTACTGACCTACTGACCTGAAGGTCCTTGGTTCGAACCCCGAACGCTGCATCTCGACTTCCCCTGTCTGCGCTTGACCTACCTGGCGGTGTCCCAGCCCTTGTGTCTCCTTCGGGTGGCGTGACAGCTAGACACCGATAGACAGCTGAGCGATTCATCCATTTTGTTTGCTGACCTTACTTGCTTTGCCGGTTGGACCGCAACATCCTTTCACGTCAAACAGATAATTACTAGCTTGTCTGAAGGTGCCGAAGCATGTATTGACCCCTCAATCGCGAACGGCGTGGCCACCCTTCCAAGTAGTTTTCAGTATCGGTCAGTCTCGCCAGATTTTCCAGCTAATTCAAGCCATTTGGAAAATCTCAGCTTCACCCAAGCAGACAATTCAATTTAGTTTGTCAGATACAAACCACGTACTATGAGTACGTTGAGTCCAGCTGTTACGGTTCTCATCACTGGAAGGTGAGATGGTGTGGGAGATAAAGCCAAACATTGGATATGATGGCATGTTCACTTAGTTCGAGAACTGGGCAGCTACTCATTGAAGGCGATGACCTTGGTGCATAAGCGCCACTGACCGCTTTTAAGCCATGCCTACCAGTGTCATTAACCATTGGTGAGTTACGCCCCGGCGTCATCCATGGAAGCGGCAGTTGTCGACGTGACGCCGTTTACTGGTTAGTGTTTTCATACTCCGTTGTCATGTCATACACCATCCATCTTGATCGCTTCCACTCAGCACAGCACTGGGTGAAAAGAGCTCTTTGAGGCAGACGTCCCTCTAGACTGAGAAGTACATGACTTAACTGGCGTAACGTATGAAGGGTGAGCAGTTCATCTATTGTGTGAGAGTTCATTCCCCCTAAAACCAACTGGCGTACCTAAGCATTACTTATCCGATGTTCCCACCATACCCGAGCAATGTTTCCGAGATACCGATGGCCAAACACTGACAATTTTCGTGTGACCTCTGCGCTTGGAGGCCACGTTTCTGATCCGTTGATACTAGAGATCGAAGTGCCAAACAGTTACTGATTTCGGCGGACCAGATAAGCCTTGACATTCCCAGCAATTTTGGCGAAGGTGTCAACAGACTTTTCGAGCTCGAGATAACGTAATGCGAATTTACTGTCCGTGGTTCGAGTCTGACCTCAGCGTTTCGACTGTCCCCGCCTAAGTTTGGGCAATCCGACAGTGTCGCAGTCGTCATGCTTCTTTCATGTGGGGGCGAGATCGTTTAGTGATTAGAGCGCGAACTTGCTGACCGGATGGCCTGTGGTTCGAACCCAACCTCTGCATCTCGACTTCCCCTGTCTAGCTTTGAGCAACTTGGCAGAATCCTAACCTTCGTGCTTCCTTCTGGTGGTGTGGCAGTTAGGCACCGAAAGGGTGCTACAGCTGAACGGGTACCTACTACTTGTGTAAATAATTCCATCAGTACTAATAGAGGTGAAAAACAATTTCAAGACAAAATCCAAGTAGCAAACCATCGGCTTAAAACTTTTTCGAAGCTTCGGTCTCCAAAGGAGACACAGGCACTCACGGATCGGAAGCCTTCAAAACGAACAATACCAAACCGTACGGTTTACTTTTACACTGTGTGATTGTCTATATATCAATAAAAACATCCTGCATGCTCATTTCTTGAACTCTGGGATGAGACAGGAATGAACAGGCGGTCTATCCATTTTCTTTCTCTCTAGACAGCGAAAGCGATCGTTTTTCTAACGCCCGGTCCTGTGTCCTGTGACGTTGACACCGATTCGGTTTACCCACTTCCATCTGTTGTTCGTTTGCAGCTTATTCCACTTTGTTGTCCCGGGATACA